TGAAATGATCTGATGTCTGGGAAGATTTGCTTTAAAGTAGTACAGGAGTGGAGAGTGGATCGGGACGTAGATGAATCTAAGTTGGCCTTAAGTTGATAATTGTTGAAACAGGTGATGGGTTCAAGGGGGTTCATTATACTATTCTACTTTCATTTATGTTTTAAATTCTCCATAATAAAAAAAGCATTTTTTAAAAAGTATCCATTATATGTGGGATAGAGAGTATCTGTCCCACTAAATGTGTAACACACATATTGGATGGTGTAGAGAGAATCATTTTAAGAAGCACAAAAATAAGTTATTTGGATAGAAAGGTATCATGGTTATAGAGATGGTGAACCATGAGAGAACAGAGGGAGTGAGGAAACTGCTGAGGCTCAGAAGGCCCTCCGGAAGGGGGGGTGTCCACCATCGGTCTTCTGTCCCCAATGTCCCCCCAGGTGACCTTGGTCCGGAACTTGGAAGCCTATGGTCTGGACCCATGCTCAGTGGCTGCCATCCTCCAGCAGCGATGCCAAGCTAGCACCACTGTCACTCCTGTCCCTGGGACCAAGGACAGCCTGCAGGTGCAGATCCAGGGAAACCAGATCCACCACCTCGGCTGGCTACTGCTAGGTGAGCGTCCCCTCTGAAGGGCAGAGGCATTGGTCTAGCTCCACAAAGATCTTTCTGCCAACTCAGCTTGGTCTAGTTATCATAATACCCATGTATACACACACACACACACACACACGCACGCACGCACGCACGCACACTCTCACACTCACTCTCTTTCTCTCTCTCTCATTTAGTTTTTAAGTAGCTAGCAAGAGGTGGAACCAGTATTTGACCAGATCCTTTGGCCCCTTCCAAATTCAGTGCTATCTCAATCATAGTATTTGAGTAGTTTTCTTCCTGGGCTTCCCTTTTTATAAAACATTTTTTGAGCACCCAAATTGTACTAGGCACTTTGCTGGCCTTGTTGCAGGCATCTCTCTTAATCATAATGATGCTGCAGAAGTGTTACCTGTTTTGCAGATGAGGAAACTGAGGTCCAGAGAGTTTCAGTACTTTGCCCTGAGATTATCCAACTCTTGAGTGCTGCAGCTGGGCTTGGAATTTTCTTAGACTCCAAAGCCTTAGTTCTTCCTACTAACTCTGGGTCACCCAGCCTTCAGTTTGTCCTCAAACCATCCTCCACATCTCTGCCCGAGTCAACCTTAAGCAAGCATTCCCCTCTGAAATGTGACATGATCACATCACTCCACTCTAAAAAATGTTTTATGTCTCTTCAATGCCTTCAGAATAAACTCCTAAGCTCAGTAAAGAAGACGGTCCCAGCCTGACCCCAGTGTTCCCTGCAGGCTCTCCAGCAGCTCTCACACCCCCATTCCAGGCCCCAACCATGCTGGTCTCCTTGTTCTCCAAACAAACCATGCACATTCACACTTGCATACTGTCACCTGGGCTGTCCCCTTCCTAGTGTGCCCTCCCACAACCTAAGTCTGCTTGACCTCAGAGGCTCATTGGCCCACTCAAGGGTAATGGGAGGCCTGTCCCAGAGCATGTCCCATTTCCCTAAATTAGCATTTTGAAAATTGCTAATGTAGCACTTTCCAATTGTGTTTATTTCTTGTTGCTGTCTGCATGTTGGCTAATTTTTTCTAATGTCTGAACCCCCTGCTAAACTGAGCTTCTTGAAGCAAAGACCTGGTCTTCTCCATCTTTTTTTTAGTTAGGGCCTGGCACATACTAAATGTTCAATAAGCAAATTTGTTTTATGGCCTAAGGCAGTAGTACCTAGAGCTGAGCTTTTTTGTGCAGAGAACCCCAATGAAGTGCTGAGAGGAAAGATAGAGAGCAGGTGAGCACACAATTGAACAGACGCACACAGACTCTCTTTTGTGAGGAATTATGAATGCTTGAAGTACACCCAGGAAGTAGCTCTCAGTGTGAAAATACTAACTAAAGTGCGCGCTGCAGCCTCAAGGTGTGGGGTGAGTGCTCCATCCCAGACGGCTTCCTCAGAAGCTGAGTTGGAGCTGGGTGTAGAAGAGCAGATCACATGATAGAAATTGTTCCAACAGCGGCTTGGCAGCAGGAATGAGCGCACTGTGGGGCCGAGAGGGGCCAGGAGCTTAGCTGGGTCTGGGGTGCCCACAGTGCCCACAGGGTTGGGGCCAAGGAGTGACATCATGAGACAAAGGGGAAGGGGAGGGGCAGTAGCAGAGCACGGTCATGTCCCACTGATGAGTTTCTGCTTTTTGGATTGTAGAAGAGTATCGCCTCCCTCGAAAACACATCCAAGGCCTAGAAAAGGCCCCCAAACCCAGCAAGAAGAAGTGACAGACTCTGTTTCATCTGCTGGATCCAGTGGAAATCCAAGCTCTAGGCTGGTAATTTATATGAGCATTTTCAGCTTTTGCAAATAAAAAATATAATTCTTTACCAAAATAAATTTTTATTCTAGTCTAAATCTGATTCCCCTCTTGTTTCCTCTATGAAGCTAAGATGCTATTCTAAAACTTAAAGTCAGAAGCATTTTATGTCGCCACAAGAGGCTACAGTGGAGTATCTCTTCCATTTCATGCAGTTTCAGTAGTTTAGTTCTTCCCCTGCTTGCGAGGCAGGACCCCTTCAGAGTTCAGGCAGGGGGGGCCTTCCTGTTTTTATAGCTCCTATCCAGATATTACATAGCCTCTTGCTTCCTACTGCCTAATTAACTACCTAGCCCCCAAATAATTCTTTCACATCTCTGAAGGGTTAGTCATGTAGAAAACAGAACCCAGCTGTTCTCTGTCATCAGTCAAGGCAAGAGAAGAAAGAATTGACCCTAAACTGCAGCAGAATTTAGGCTAGATAGAAACAAGAAACAATAAAAGTAAATTAGGACATGGGTTTCTATACGGCACTTATTATTCACCAACTTTGTCATACTGCCACTAAATGGTAAATGTGTGATGTAACTCCAAGATGATAGCTTTTTTACAGTGAAGACTCTTATCCAACAAAGGCGTTCTTCAGTTCCAACTTCTTTACCTGGGGTTCACTGAAGGGGTCTTCCACTGGTCTATCAGAGGGTCCACGCACTCCCTGAAGTGGTGTGTAAGATTTTGTGTGATCATTTTCCTAAGAGAGGGACCGTGCTTTTGTCAAATACCCAAAGGGATCACTTGATGCCTAAAAGGTTCAGAACCAATGCTCTGGTCCCTACTCAGTTTGTAGAAGTCATTTCTGTGCCCAGAGCTCTCCTTATACGATAGGAGGGAATAAGAAGTGAGCTAACTTCCTTAAGCATTCTTGGCTTTTACTATCAAGAGACAGTTATACTTCAATTAACTTCCTTTTTTGTCATCTCACTTCCAATGCTCTGGTCCCTACTCAGTTTGTAGAAGTCATTTCTGTGCCCAGAGCTCTCCTTATACAATAGGAGGGAATAAGAAGTGAGCTAAATTCCTTAAGCATTCTTGGCTTTTACTATCAAGAGACAGTTATACTTCAATTAACTTCCTTTTTTGTCATCTCACTTCAAAAAAAAAAACTGATAAAAGAAAGGCTTGAAAATATCAGCAACATCCACAAATTACCCATTTGAGGCTTGAAGAGGAAGAAGGGGATGGTGTAAAAGTGTGGGGCACCTCCCTCCACTTGTTTCAGGCCCAGAATAGGCCTTTTCACTTTTAAGTAAATGCCTTAATTTCACTAATCCTATCTGTACTGTCATTAGCATACAGAACTGGGAAAGGGATCTCTAGAAATTGACCCCACCCAGGATCCTGTTACAACAAAGCCTTTGGATGGCCAGTGTGATCGGAGGGAGTACGATATGTATAGGAATAATAAAATATGCTCCTTATATGAATACAAAGGACATGTAATACTGTACAAAGTTCTTTCACAGACATGATTTGCACAATCCTCGAGGAATTAGAAGCTCAGAGAGGTGGTGTCTTGCCTTGCTAATCCCCGCTAAAGACACAAAGCCAGTAAGTGGTGGGGCTGGGTCTAAAATGAACATCTACTCTTGTGTAGTTTAACCCAGAGTTCTGCAATGATACAGGGTTGTCAAGACCTGTGCTCTGAATGGTTTTTCCATAATGGTGACACATTTGCATTGAGTCATTTTCCCTTTTTCCCTTGTGGACAGCACTGAAACATATAAGAAGGCTGGGTGGATATATACTGTGTGATGGATTCTTCTCTCTATGTGCTAAGCCAAATAATCTATGTCAAGGTCAAACTTACAACTTTCAATTTATTGACGCCATGCTGTAATCAAACAAATTTCAATGAAAAGCAGAAACTGGTTCATTTCCAGGCTTTGGCAAATCATTGAAAGGTGCACTTCTTGGAGGTCTGGGTGAACAGATGTTGTGCCCTGTTCTTTGACAATTTTAAGAATGTCTGTTGGGTGTGGTGTTCTCTCCTTCAGCAAGGCAGAGACTGAACTGGATGGGCTTTGAAGAGCCCCTGCAGCCCCACCATTGCATTATATGTGATCAATACTGGAAGGCAGGCAAGAATTTCTTTTTAATAATGTTTATGTGGTTATTTCCATGATGAGTAAGACATTCTTTTGATGGAAGTCAGAATGCTAAAGTGAAAGGACTGTTTCAGTCATCTGATCTAGCTCTCTTCCTCTAGGTGAAATCTTAAACTTTCAAAGACACGTTCCTATCTGTCTTATTTCTAAATAATTCCAGAAATAGAAGAATCATTGCTTACCTCAGTAGCCTGTCCTGGTGTTTGATAATCTTTAGCTCCAGAAAGTCCCTCCATTTCTAACTCAGTATCTCCTTCTGTAATAAATCCCCTTTACTCCCTAGCTCTGTGGAGTTCAAGGACGATGTTTCAGTATGAATCATTTTTGCATCAAGCTTTTATTACTTTTTTTAAAACCCTTATAAGAAAGACATTTAAAAAGAAAATATCCTCAAAACAAACACACACTGAGCAACACCACCATAGAAGGCACTACCAGCAGTTATACCCACCTCTGGGAAGGAAAGGATACTCGATACATACTTTTTTCAGAGGCTCAGACCTCAGCATAGGTCCTGGGTCTAACTGTGCTTTAGATAAAGTCTAAATTTTCCCCATAGTTTTCTTATTTCATAAACACTCTTATCTCTTTATATATCGCTATATGCCTTTATATATATATATATATACATGACTTTTTTTTCCCTTCTCAAAAATAAAATAGACATCCCCATAGAGGGAGGTTCTCAGCAGCATTCACAGCGGTTGCAGCAGGAGCCATGCCTTCTATTAATGTCAGAGACATGCAGGACGAAGGAAAACGACTCTCTACCTGCTCCATTTAATATACAGCAGGGAGAGAGATTTTTTTTAAGGGAGGGAAGTGATAAGGCTGAACATGAGATGGCAGATAAACAGGGTTTTTGTGGTTCAAAAACATCTTTTAGAGTCTTAGCTTGTGTTGCTTTTGCAGCTCTGAAGACTATGCACAGTTCATATGACAAAGGGTCAGCATTCCTTCTGGGATCAGGGGCAGTGTGGACTCAGCATAGGTCAGAGAGGGAAATTCTGAGGCTACACAAAGAAGCTTGGGCTCGAACCAACCCAAGAGGGACTTGGGAAGGCAGAGGACAGCAAAGAAATGGTCTCAAAGGCTGGGTTGGAAAACTGGCCCTTCTTTGAAGATTACATGTCCTTCTCCTTCTGCATTGGACTGTCTTTGCAGTCCTGGCTACTTGCGGGAATGTTTGGCTAATTTATTGTAAGTCTGAACCTGAACAAGGAGCCCATACAAATGTACAGAGTCAGGAATCTGATCCTCCCTGTCAATGTCGTCTGACACCACTTGTTAGAAGTCAGATCCCAGAAGTTAGATGGGAAGGAGGTATGTGGCCCTCACCCCGTACGTGGAGGGCTTTCCCGGCCTTGTCTCCTATGCTGCTGTTGTCCACTTCCTGGCAGGAGCAAGCCAGCAGCAGAGCTTCAAGCAAACACACCCTGCTCCTATCTCTCTCTGAAAACAAAAGGCACTGAGGTCAAAGGGGAGGCCAAGCCCAGGGGCTCACTGAGCGCAGTGCCATGGGCTGACCTGTGCTTCAGAACAGAAAGGATTCCATGTTGGCTGAGTTAGAGGTTCCCCCCTTTGTATTCAAGGCAACTCCTCTGGCAGCACCCAGAGATCCCAAATTCCCAGTGCAAAGAGGAGGCAGTGCTGGAGGCCAGGGGGGAAACCAAGGCAGCTCAGGCCCTCCTCTGCTGTCTAGCTGGGAGAAGGCTGAAGATAGCTTGGACACTTTTTGCTGCAACACTTTTTGGCTTTCTCTTACAGCCTGATTTCCATACTCAGCAGGAGACTTCCAAAAATGGTAATGACCAGTTTCCCTTTGGTGGAAACACATGAGGATAATGGCAATATTAAATTCAAATGTGTACCTTAAAAACAAACAGTTCATTGACAAAGACGTGGCTAAGTACCACACACACGCAGACATGTGCCTTTGGGTTCACACGTGCACAGTCTCTTGGGCGACAGGAGCCAGGGCCAGAGCAGGATGCAGCTTCTCTGCAAGTCTCTGAGCCGCTCAGCTTCAGTGCTCCACACCTCACGCATCTGGGGCCAGGAGCTCCATGAACTTTCCTTAAGCAGGAACAGAGGGCACCTTGGGGCCACAGGGATAATCCTTTTATGGGCATTATTCTGCTTTCAGGAGCTTAACTCAGACCTGCTAAAGGAATATGCTACAATGTTTCACTCATAAATAAAGGTACTGTAGGTGGCAAATAAGATAAATTGAAGAGGAATCAAAGCCAGAGAAACAACATACAGATCTAAAACCTTTCTCCTTCCTGTGCCGGCTGGTGTGATAGGTTCCAGTTTGGTAATGAGAGGCAACTATTTGATTTGTGAAAGGCTCGTAGATTGAGACAGGATGATGTCTGTCCATTTCACAAGTACCGATCCCAGCACTGATCCTTGGCAGAGTCTGTCGAGGGGCACGGTGTGGGGGTGGGCAGGAATCAACCCCTGCACAAATGCTTGTCTGTGGAAGAGACTCTGTGCCACATCTGGAATGCTGGGCGGGCACAAAGGCACCCACCAGAGGTGTCCTGAGAAAAAGTGTCTGCAAAATAATAACTAATAATAAAAACAAATCCGAGAGCACAGGGAGGAGAGCAAGCCGGACCGGTTACCCAGGTTTGCCCTGGGATTCTCTTAAGGCCTCCTCCAGTTTCTGTCTAAACCTGTCATACTTCTTCCGCACGTGTTGGATTTTGTCCTGCTCTTCTTTTTCCAGGATTGTTAGGAAGTTCTGGAGCTCGGGGATGGAGAAGGCATCCCACTGTGAGGCGAGAGCGAGATACAGGGAGAGACACAGAGTAGGAGACACGTTAGAAGGTGACACGACCCGAGGGGCCCCGCTGCCGCCCCCTTCATGTGGTTGACATCAGTGGTTCACCCACAGTTTGCTGCCAAATAGGCAGATCCAGTGAATAAAGCTTGGGCTACATGTTTGTCACACCAGCAACAAAATTTCAAATCCTGGCATCTCAAAATCAAGAGTTACCAGTCCATGAACTGTGTTCTATTTTGAGAGACAATAATCCAAAGTTTTCATGGTAGCAGCTGAGATCTTGACAGTGAGGCTGGAACCGCCCCAGGCTCACAACATGCACACCCCCAAGAGGCAGGCTGGGGAGAGCTAGACCTAGGCTCAGGACACCCAGTTTGAACATGACTCCACCTCCCACCAGCCCTGTGACCTTGAGAAGTAGCACTTCCTACTTCTCAGCCTATTTCCTCATCTGCCGTGGAGTTAGGGTACCAGCCTGCCATGGCTGGCAGAGCAGATCGTGAGGTAATGTAACCTGTAAAGCTCTAGAGAGCCCGGTTGGCTCAGGCCTGCCTGGAGGGACCTGGCCTCGCAGGGCAGAAGGCAAGTCTGACTTCTCTCAGGCTGACCCAGGAGCTTAGGATTGAGGGGGCTGAGGACTGAAACTCCTAAGCTCTTTGAGCACAAAAGAATAGTCAAGTCTATCTGGTTTAATCCCCACATTAGATAAAAGAGAAACCTGAAATCCGCAGAGGGAAGGTGGCACAGCCACAGTCACAGTTCACGTGGCAAGAACTAGGACTGGAACTAGAACCCAGGTCTCCAAACTCCCAGGCCCGTGAGCTTCCCACAGGGCCAGCAGTGTTCAAACACTTCAGAGGAGCCCTTTCTCCAAACATGATCTTCTAAAGACTCCAATATATAAAGCAAACGGAAGCAAAGCTGCCCACCTGCCTGCATCCCCCAAGTCTCCACAGTCACCCCCAATACTGTTCCTTAAAACCTGAGGTCTCCCTTGAACATAGTGTGACAGACACTGAGACCCTCTCCTGCTCTGGGTCACTCCTCGAGGATCCCACCATCCAAGTCCCAAGCCACAGGGGGCACGAGCCTGCTTTCACCCCAGTTCACACCACAAGACTGGACACTGGCTAGCTCCCCTCGGGGGAAGGAGGTCAGCATTTAAGAACAGGGGAGACACAAATGCCACAAAAATGTCTATACCCAGCAGAGTCCAGAGGTGGAGCTTGCTGGGCCTCAGGTCATCCAGGAGCAAAACAGCCTGGGCCTGAACGCAAGGAGTTTCTCAGTCCCCCTCCACCCTGAGTTTTCAGAAATAAAGCACACGAAATCCTTTCTTTCCATGGGCCTTGCCAGACTCAGGCCCTGACTTGCTAGCCTAGGGTGCTCACCATCGTGGCTCACACACAGAACTCTGGCCCCACACTCACCCAGCTCAGCTCTCCCAACAGTCATTTCCCGCTGCGGCTGCTGTGCGGCCTCCACCTCTGCTGCATCGTGAGGACAGTGCCCACCCGCACCCACCCGCTGCACCCTGAGTCCAGACCTACCTCCACCTCTCCAGTTTCGTTCTCCTTTAGCACAAAGCTGAGGACCTCAGTGTCCGGCCCAGCGAGGAGGCGCAGGTAGAGGGGGCAGTCAGCAATAGAGAGTTTCTGGAAGAGCACTGCAAAGCAAGAGAGGGGGCAGGGCGCTCACCTGGGGAAAGGAGGACGGGGCCTGCTGGGGGGACAGGACTGGAAATGCAGAGGTGGAGTATTTGGAACTGGAAGTGGATTAGAGGGTCCTTTCAACCTAATGAAATGAGCCTGACAAGAATGAACAGGGCGATAACCTTTTATCTTGGGTGTCTGTTCGGGGTTTAAAGCACGTTTCCATTCGCATCATCTCCCAAAAGATTAGGTGTGGTGGGGCGGATTCCTCCCATTATACAGATTAGGAAATGGGAGCCCGGGGTGCGGTTTTCCTGAAGTCACACAGAGTTAAGGGCACAGTGAGCTGTCCTGTCAAGCTCTCTGCTCTTGTCTCCCTGCCCAGATTCTGTGTGTGGCTCTTGCACAGATCTGAATGCCACGTGGTTTGCTGGACCCTCGTGCACAGGGGAGGCCCACTCCTCCTACCCAAGGCTGGCTGGGGTTTTAGTGGGTGGGCACGGACACAGCCGGGAAAGGAAGTTTCTGGTTGGGAGTTGTTCCTCATACCTTGTCCGTCCTTGTGTGTCCGCTTAAAAAGTGCAAACTTCTGGGGATTGTCCACGACCATGAACTTCTTGAGCAGCCCCTGGATGACCTCACTCACTGTGGTGGTGCTGCTGATGTGCAGCTGCTTGATGGCGTCAAGTGGCAGGTAGAAAGACGTCCGCTTGTCTGTGGTGGCTGCCAGGTTCACTTCCTTGATGGCATCATAGATGGACTGGGGCCGGATCCCCGCTGGCACCGTCACCGGTCGTCGAAGTTTCAAATGCACCTTGATGAAACCCGTGTAGGTGCCATCTTCACTCTGCCAATGGGGGACGTCATGTGGGGTCAGATGGTCCATCTTGCATGATCACATCTGCCACCCTGGGTGCTGCAGAGGCCTTTCCTAATAGGGCCACCCCAGTCAACCCCCCACCTGTCTCCCTGAGGTCTTTCCTGCCTCTGCTGACCTGGGTGCCTGCCCTTCCCCCCAGGTGGGCCAGGAGAAGGCCCACAGTATCCAGCTTGCAGAGAGGACTTGTCAGGCCACGGTGGCTTCCCTCCCAAGGAGCTCAGGCTGGCTGTCCCAAAAGAGTTCCCATTCTAAGAGGCAAGATCTGGGGTGACCTCTCTAGGACACACCTCTGAACCAGGAGCAGGAAGGCCCAACAATAAGGTCCGTGGAGAGCCAGCCCACTGCCCTTCCTCTTGCCCTTCTTTCCAAAGAACCTACAGCCTTTAACACTTAAACCTGGGCCAATCTGTGACTGGAAGTTCTGGTGCCCATCTGGCTGAAGCCCCAAAGAGCCCATTGCTGCCAGCAACCAGCAGGGGGCAGGGTCCTTCTACCTTCTCCCCTCCCCATTGAATATGGCTTTGCAGCCTAGCACTAAGTTGGGTGCACTCTCCTCTCTGAGCACTGCACAATCTAAGGGGCAGGAAGAGGAGTGGGAAACTCCCCTTATCGGGGGCCTTCTGGGGGCCAAGCAATACTAAGCCCTTGGTCATTATTTATCATTTCATTGCCACAAGATCTTGGACAAATGGGCATTACGGTCTCTATTTTAAACTGAAGTTCAGAGAAATTAAGAAAGTTTCCCAAATTCCCAAGTGAAAAAGTGGCAGGGCCAGAGATTGGATCTGGGTCTGATTCTAAAGCCCACGCTATTTCCCTAAAGTAAATGGAGGCCACTGACAGCCCAGGCTGTCAGCCTTGCATGACCCCTGAGGCCTCTAGAGACCCAAAGAGAGGGACCTGCAAGGGCGTAGCCACAGAACCCAAAGGCAGAGCAGAGGAGCCAGACCAGAAGGGGGCCGTGGAGCGGGGGCTGGGTAGCGGGTGGTGGGCAGGCCTCGCTCACCAGCTTCATGCCCAGGCAGTTCTTCTCCCGGGTGTTGTAGCTGTCAATCTTCTGCTTGATCTCCTGCAGCGTGGGCGGGCTCCGCGTCTCCTCCACTGGTTTACACACATTCTGGAACAGACACAGAAGTGGGGGTGGGTGTACAGTTGTTCCCAGGATGAGAAGGGGAATGATCACACCCTCACAAAGGCCTCTCTGACTGAGAAGCTCTAAGCACCAGCCCCACACAGTGAAATGGATTGCATGGATTCAGAGTGGGAACCATAAGAGGGCAAATCCCAGCTGGGCCACGACGTAGCCGGCCACCCCTGGAAAGTAACTCAGCTCTCACTGAGCCTCAGTCTCCTCACCTGTGAAATGGGAATATTACCCATACTGCAGGCTGGTCTTGAAACCAGTGTAAAGGTGCCCGGCACTCTAGGGAGGATGAGCAGAGCTGTGTTTGCTTACGAATGGTTGCTATGGAAGAGGTGCTCTTAGATACTATGGGAGATGCAAAGAAACACCAGCCTTGGTTCATCTCCTTGAGGCAGTAACAATAAAGCCGGGAGACAGGCATGTATGCGTGGTACCAGGATATGCTGACGGGAATGACAAGGATTCTCCTAGACAGAGGACAAGGGCCCTGCATCACTGGCCACAGTGCTTTGGACATAACAGGAAGTAAATATATATTTGTTTGATAATGAGTGAACTGGTAGGGACAGGGTGTAGCTCTCTATGATGACGGAGGGGATAAACCTCTCCTACTGGGGTGCCAGGACCACCAACATTTACTGAGCACCTCCTCTGTGCTAAGTACTTGGCATACATTATCTCATGTAATTCTCACAAGCTGAAACTCTGCAAGATAGTTTACTACCCCCATTTTACAGGTGAGACTACTGAGACTAAGAGGCATCGAGAGACTTGCCCTCACCCTACAGTCGGTAGGTGCAGAACTAACAAATTCCAGGTCTGTTCTTGTGCTCTCCCTACGATGTCACGATTTGTTCTTCCCATATAATCCCCTGACACCCTCTCCCTGCCGCGGAAGCGGAAGGGAAGAATGAAGTTGAGAAGATGGAGGTCGACATCCCTCCCACTGGGGAGAGAGTTCAAGGGTGACTTCAGGGTCTAAGCAACTCTGTCCCTCGGTCAAGTCTCTGGATTTCTCTCAAGTTCATTTTCACTCCCTTCACAGTTTTGCCATCACACTGTCCCTGTGTGGCCGGGAGTACAGGAACAGATTGGTTAAAACCCACCTGGAATTTGCCTGGTCTTAGAAACCTAGCAGGCTCGGGGTAAATCAGGATTCTTCTTTGGCAAATGAGGACACTGAGGCCAGAGAGGGATGACTGTGGTAACACCTGACACTGTCCTGTGGGTGTCTGGGTCTGAATGGGAGTTTCACAGCTGTCCCCACACCACAGCACCACCCAACCAAATGCAACGGGACACCCACAGCAGAGCTCACCCCTGACCTTCCTCCCTTCAGCAAGCCTGTTCGTGGAGACACGTCACTTGGACGCCCTGCCATCGCTTCCTCCTCCCACTTCTCGGTCCCACACAGCCCACGAAATGTCAGGCGCTGGCTGAGAAGAGGAGCGGGCGCGGTTGAGTCTGGGAGGGCTGCAGCCTCCCACCCGCCCACCCCTCCGCATGGAGGTGGGCCAGCGCGTCTCTCCATCGCAGCATCTTTCCCCAGCCATCGGCTGCTCTGTTCTCTCCCCCCAGGGCTCCTGATCTGGTGAGAGCAGCACCGTGCTGGGTGCATTCACATGCCTTCTCTTACATACTGTGTACGTTATTCCTATTTCACAGATTACAAAACTGGGGCTCAGAGACGTTAAGAGACGTGCCTGTGGCCCCACTGCTAGTAAATGGCTGAGCAGGGACTGGAACCAAGTCTATCTGAGGATGCAGCCCAGGCTTTCCTCAATCCACCACGTGGCCACCCGAGGATGGCCTCTTCTGCTGAAGGGGCTGGCCCACATTCCCATAGTGATCACTGAAACTCTGTGCCACGGGGCAGGGATGAGCCGCTGCCAAACCAGGCCTATAAATCACCTGCCCTACAAATATTCTCCCAATATGCATGATCAGTGGGTCGGGCACCAGAGGCCTCAGGACCCTGGGGGTACCGTGTCACCTGTGTAGATGGCAGGAAGAGACTTCTAACCTTGGGAGCAGATGCAGCCACTAGGATACGGGGTTCAGCCTTTTCCTATGTGCCTATTTAGGTCTCTGGAACTGGACCTTGATTCTGTTGAAGACCACCCAAGTGGAAGTAGTCCCTGAGACATGTGCTGTTTGCCTGAGGTGGGTAGCAAGTGGTGTGAGCCTCACAGACTGTCTTCATTCACTGTCGATCTATTAAGGGACCTCAAAATGGAGAATCTCGTTCCTCAACCTTCCCTCAGCTCCTGGAGCTCCCCGCCTCATTCCCACACACTGGGCGCATCTCTGTGGGACCAGACATGCTTGGCCCGGGCCCTGCGCTGCCTTCCCTCAGGGGGCTTCCAGTCGGAAAGACCAGTTGTCCAGTTACTGTGAGACGCTCCGTCCTGCCCGCCTCTAAAGCGCGCAGTCTGCCACCCCTCAGGAGTTGGTAGCTTTCTCATTCTCACGTACATGAAGGAGTTAAGTAGGGGCTGGCTGGTTAGCTCAGTCGGTGAGAGTGTGGCATTGATAACACCAAGGTCCTGGAGCAGCTAGCCACAAAAAAAAAAGTTAGATGACGGAAAGAGCTCTAGAGGCTGCTGGAAGATCTCTCATAGTTTCCGACCAAGCGACCGCCATCTCCCTGTGAGAAAAGGCAGCTGTGTGGTGGCTTTCAAAGGCCTGCTTTTGAATACAGTGAGAGTCAGAGCCGTCTTAGCCTCAGGTTGTTTCTTCTGCCTGTTCCCCTTTTTCTTCAGCAGATAAACTCATCTGTTCTCTCCCTTGCCCACCACAAACCTGGGGAAGTGACACAGGTGGCTGTGGGCACCTCCGCCTCCCAGGACTGACGCAGAAGACCCACTCGTGACCTCACCATTCTGGCCCTCTGGGTGGCAGAGGGAGCCCCGTCTGGGAGTGCCCGGAGCCCTGTGTACGGCCAACACTATGAATCTCACATCCAGGCCTGAGATGCCTGCTGCCCACACTGAATCTGGCAGGCAAGTTCTGCCTCACGGACTGAATGAATCACCTCCCAAAGAAGGCTAGCCGATGGGCCAGCAAGCCACAGCACAGGGGCTCACTAATCCTTTTCCCACCCAAGAGATGGCGTAGAATCTAGACCAGTGGTTCTTAAACTTGACTGCAAAGTGGAATCAGCTGGGGATCCTTAGAAACACAGCTGCCTGGGCTTTATCCCCGGAGATTCTGATTAAGTTGGTCTAAGATGCCGTCTGGGCATAGGGATTTTAAAAATTCTAATGTGCAGCAATATTTGAGAAGAACTGGGTAGATCTCTCATGGGCAATTCCAGACTTTAAGGGTCCTCGTCCATCCGCAGAGTTAACACTTTGGCACCAACAGATACATGCCGCCCCAAAGGCTTACCTAAAAGGCAGAATCTACTGTATTAACAAGACCAATGATATGATAATCTTCAGACAAAGACCCCAATTTCTATTCACCTGGCAGATTCTCAAGTCTTCAAAGTGAAAGATTCATCTCTGTCCATGGGTACAAAGCTAGAAGCCAGACAGATAGTTTTGCCTCTTGGGGTGGCCCAGGATAGAGATGGAAAGGGGAACTCTGTTATGATTGAACAAATACAGGCATTGGCCTGCAAGGTGTCTCTCCTGGGGGGCTTACACATCTCCGTGCATCTGGCCTGAAATTCATCTGCTCTGATTAAGCCCCTGGCATTAGCAGCAGATGGCTTTGTTCCTAAAGCACCCAGCACATCCAGGGCACCAGTGAAAAATAGGTTTGTCTGACATGTCCTAAGCCTTGGAAAGGGGCTGTGTCCTCTGTTAGCTCTCAAGGTTACCGGGGTACAGCCTAGGGAAGAAGCTGGGTGCTAGGGGTCAGAGCAGAGACACCCCTTCCCCCTGACCCAGGGTGATTCCCTCATGTTTCTATTAACATACTCGTAACAAAATAAGGAGGACCATCCCCTTGTGGTCTGGGGTCCATCTCAGGGTAGATTAACCCTGAATCAAGTTTTCCTTTGTCTTCTATTAGACAGACAGACAGACAGACAGACACTGGGTAAGTCTGCATTCCTATCACTGACACATGTAGAGTTACTTTTGCTCCCTGGGGGGTGACGAACGCTCTGAGAAGGAGAGGCTCTGAGTGGGTCCTGTGGCTTCTAGTGTCCCCAGGTGGGCACAGTGCAGCCCACGAACGCTACAGCAATGAGAAGGGCACCCCGGGGGGAGGAGTGGCTGAGGGGAGTGTGTGTCCCACGCTGAGTGCTGGAGCCGTCATAGACACTCATGCCCACTCTTTCTTGACCTGAATCACACAAGCCTCACTTTGCTAAAAATTTCCTTCTCCCTCTTTTTAAACTTGTCAGCCTCGTCTCCTTCCTGCCCACTGGTTCCATCATGTCACTCCTGTCTGTCCATCTGGGGTCCCTTCACCTGTCAAGGCCTCTCTGACCACTCCAGCTCTGAATGATGGCAATGCCAACGCTGACGGTGACAACGTTCCTTCATTACGGCTCATCATGTGCCACGCGCTGTCCTACTACTCAGCATGTACTGGCACATCTCATCCTCGCAGCAAGTTCATGAGGACAGTCCTAGTGTTATGCCCACTTTACGGTCGAGGAAGCTGAGCCACAGAAAGGTTAACGCTAACCCACACCTAAAGCTAACACTGCGCTGTGTGATACTTAACTCTGCAGCGACTTACATTAACTTCCAAGTAGATCATCTGTCTGGGTTTTTCTTCCCAACTAGACTGAAGCTATTTCTTCTCTATGCCCAGTGGCCCCCGAGCATGAAGCACATAATACACACTTGCTCAAGAGCACTTAATGGCCCCTCATTGCCTACAGTAGGGGAAAAGATCTAGTTTCTCCTGGGAATTACAGAGCAGTGAGCCTCGGGTTTCAGTTTAGACAGTTCCATGAGAGAAGCACCCATCTGTCTTGTCCACCGGGACATCCCAGAGCCTAGTTCGAGTGT